ACTTTAGTTTGGTTTGGTTTGGTTTGACTCGGTTAGGTCTTTTGCCCTCTCCTATGCGATCAATTATTCAGTTCCTGTGTATTTGAACACACTCTTGGACGATCAAAGGGGTGAATGATAACGTACGGTTGTGTCTAGAGAAAGCTCTACAAGTGGCGACATGGTATTGGTTATAAAGGGTGGCGACATGGTATTGGTTATAAAGGCTATATGAAAGTCAACTACAGAAATGCTGACTTTGCTTTCACTATTCAAAGCAGATTACAATATTGACTTTGACTCAAAGATAAACAGTTTTATCTTCTTCCCAGCTCTGGATTCGAATATCTCTCGGTCGAAGCTGAAGATCTCTGTGGATGTTTTTTTCTGAGAGGGATTCATAAAGGAGAACCAATCATTTTGTAAGATAAGTCAAGGAGCGTTAATGGCCGACGCAGTGGTTGCATTTGGACTGCAGAAGCTCTGGGAGCTTCTCATTCGAGAATCTAATCGGCTCAAAGCAGTCCAAGAACAAGCAGCCGAGCTACAAAACGATCTGAGACGGCTAAACTCGTTTGTGAAAGACGCAGAGGCAACCAATAAAAGCAAAAGCGAGAGAGTTAAGAACTGTATACAAGAGATCGTAGAGATTGTGTATGATGCTGAAGACATAATCGAGACCTTTCTTATGAACCAAGAAAGATCTGGAAGAGAGAAAAGGATGATCAAGAAACAGTTAAAGATAGTTTCGTGCATCAGATTTGCTCACCAGGAGTTTAGTTATCAGATCAGAGGGATAAGCAGAAGGATCTCCAAGGTGATAGACAATATGGAGAGGTTTGGAGTTAGAGAAATTATAGACAAAGTTGAAGAAGAAGAAGAAGGAGAGAGTTTAGAGGAAAGAGTTGTGAGACAATCTTTTCCTAGCGTCTCTGAAAGTAGCCTTGTTGGTGTGGAACCTAGTGTTGAGGAACTAGTTGGTCATCTTGTGGAAGAGAATGGTGTTCATGTTGTTTCTGTTTGCGGTATGGGCGGAATTGGGAAAACAACTCTTGCAAGACAAGTTTTTCATCATGAGATGGTCCGGCGTCATTTCAATGGGTTTGCTTGGGTGTTTGTTTCACAAGAGTGTAGGCAAAAGCATGTGTGGAGAGGGATATTACAGAGCCTTAAACCCAAAAACGAGGAGCAGAGAATTGGGGAGATGACAGTTTCTGGACTACAAGATGAGCTCTTTAAACTACTTGAAACCCAAATATGTTTGATTGTGCTTGATGATTTGTGGAGCAGTGCGGCTTGGGAGCTTATAAAGCCAGCTTTTCCACATAGTTCAGGTGACTATGTCTTTGATAATGAATCATAATTGTTTTTTTTTTCTTTGTGGTGTCTTATTTGGGAATGTGGACAATTTTTGCAGGTAGCAAGATACTACTCACTTCTCGGAATGAGGGTGTTGGTTTGCATCCAGATCTAAGATGCGTTATCTTTAGGCCTAGATTCCTAACTCATGAAGATAGCTGGGAAGTTTTTGAAAAGATAGCTTTGACTGAGAGAAACGTTATAGGTATGTGTTTGATCATACATGTAACCGAGGATGAAATGAACTAAAAGATCTTATGTATTGTGTGTAGAGTTTCATGTTGATGATTTAGCAGAAGAGATACAACAAATGCTCAAACACTGTGGAGGGTTACCATTAGCTGTGAAAACTCTTGGAGGGTTGTTAGCTACAAAACGTACAGCTTCCGAGTGGAGAAAGGTACACAACAATATCAGATCTCACATCGCAGGAGAGATTGGTGAAAGTGGTAGTTTGATAATTAGTGTGATATCTTTGAGTTATGAGGATCTACCTTCACATTTGAAGCACTGTTTTCTTTACCTTGCTCATTTTCCGGAAGATCATGAGATACAAACAGAGACATTGTTTAATTACTGGGTTGCAGAAGGCATAGTGGTGGTGAGTAGTGAAGTGACTACTATTGTAGATGTTGCAGAGGATTACCTTGAGGAGTTGGTCAAGAGGAGTATGGTTTTAGTAGGGAAGAGGAATGCTGTGACATCAAGAATCCAATCTTGTCGTCTACATGATGTGGTTAGAGAAGTCTGTTTGTTTAAAGCCAAAGAAGAAAGTTTCATGCAAGTTTTCAATGCTCGGAGCAGTGTCTTGAATGCTACTAGTGCTCTCTCACCTGAATCCACCAACAGATCACGCAGAGTCGCTGTACATTTGGTTGATGATGACGAAAACAAACCTGTTATATTTCAGCAGAGAAAGATTCAGAACACCAAAGCAAGGGCCCTTTTGTATATCACTAGAGACTTCCATCCTTGGATATTATCAACCCGGAGTTTTCGAGGTTTACAATCTCTTAGAGTCTTGGATCTCTTTGGAGCTCAGTTCAGAAGACGCAAGTTACATAAGAGCATAGGGAAGCTCATACACCTGAGGTACTTGAGTTTGAAAGAGACAAACTTGTCTGTGTTACCATCTTCTATAGGGAATCTAGAGCTGTTGGTTTATCTGGATTTAGAGATTTACGAGACAATGGTTCACATACCAAATGTCTTAAAGAAGATGAAGAAGCTGAGATATCTTATGTTACCTGATGAACTCAGCAATAAAACAAAGTTAGAGTTAGGTGGTTTAGTGAAGTTGGAGACCCTCAAGAACTTCTCACTAAATCACAGTAGCGTCAAAGATCTAATCAATATGACCAAACTCAGAACGTTATGGATTTGTTGTGCCTCCGATAACCCTGGAGAAGAAGTTTTACCTTTGTCACTCGGTGCATCGTTGAAACATTTGGAGGAGTTGATGTTATACAACAAAAGAAACGGCCAAGACCAAGTTCAACCCACAGAGATCGATGCAGGAGCCCTTGTTTCTGGTTTCCAGAGAGTTAACCAGTTAAGGTTAGATATAAAGATTGACAAGTTACCCAATGAACTTCAATTCCCTTCCCGGATCACCTCTGTTTCATTATCCTCTTGTGGCCTACACGAGGATCCAATGCCAGTTCTTGAGAAGCTACACAACTTAAAGATTGTTAGTTTAGAAGTAAATGCTTTCGCAGGGAGGAAAATGGTCTGCTCGAAAACCGGGTTCCCCAAACTGCTTACTCTGGAGTTTTCGATACTCGACAATCTCGAGGAATGGATTGTAGAAGAAGAGTCCATGCCATGTCTTTGTCATTTGGAGATTAATGACTGCAGAAAGTTGAAGAGTCTTCCTGATGGGTTAAGATACATAACTAGTTTAGAGGAGCTAAGAGTTGGATGGATGGGGAATGCATTCAAGGATAAGTTAATCCAAGGTGGAGAAGATTACTACAAGATACAACATGTATCTTATGTTGTATTTCACAGTTGCGGGGACGAATGAGAAAGAAGTACAAGAATAGAATGATAAAAGGTCAATACTGATTTGTTTTGCATGTAGCACGTATTATTATGACACTTCTTTCATACTGATTTGCGAAAATCATTTTTTAAGCAAGATAAGATAATTTAGGGCAAAATAGCATAAAAAACCTTCGAATAGACACTCACTAACACTTTAAATCTTGAACTTATTTAGTTAACATATTAAACATTCAACTTAATTTTTGTATTACAAAAAACCTTCAACTTTGCTTACTTGTTCATCAAATTAAAACTGTGACTTGTTAACCTGCAATAATAGATCACATGTTGACTTTTTTATTTAATTAATAAATGCAATTAACAATAAAAACCTAAATAAAAATAGAAAATTACAGAAAAAAATCTAAAATTATATTTAATAAAAATCAAAATATTTTCTTAAAATTTCAAAGCATTTAAATGGAAAAATTTTCAAACTAACTTTTTTTAGAAAAAAAAAATCATCTAAAAGTTATTAAATATTCTCACAAAAAATAAATAATGTTAAAAATTGTCATATCATTATTAAGAATAACATATTTGGTTATATCAGTAATGAAAATAGTGTCAAAATCATTGTTATTTGTATATAAGAAATTATCATCATTAAAGATTTCAACAAAATTAAACTTTTTACAATTTAAAAAACGTTATTATTAATTGTGATATGACGAAAAGTGTTTCTTTTACTGGTGGTATATCCACATTATTTAATTTTAAGTAACATTTTAAACTTTATATAATTTTATAAAAGAATTACATTCATATTTCAAAATTTTCATTTAGAATAAAAATAAAAAATTGTAAATTCTTAAGAATATATTTATATTTTTAAAATTAATATTTTTGAATTTTTATGTATTTAAAAAATAATATTTTGGAAATCTTACGTTTAAAAAAAATTAAGAAGATATTTTGATTTTTTATTAAATTCAATTTTAGGATTTTTTCTGTAATTTTCTAATTTTAAATAGTTTTTATTGTTAATTGTATTTATTAATTAAATAAAATAAAACGAATCAACATGTGACCTCTATTGCAGGTTAACAGATCATAATTTTAACTTGATGAACAAGTAAGTCAGGTTCAAGGTTTTTTATGAAAGCTAATTTCGAAGTAGGTCTACCTATGATACAAAAACTAAGTTGAATGTTTAATATGCTAGCTAAATAAGTTCAAGATTTAAAGTGCTAGTGGGTTGCCACTTTGAAGATTTTTTATGCTATTTTCCTGATAATTTAGTGAGATAATATATATTCGATTAGTTTAGCTATGGAAAAAATTTAGAAGTATAACTGTATAAATCAATATTATTTTTCTCCATATATAACTAATCCATTATTAAAATAAATAAAAAACTAATCCATTAAATATTCCTTCAATCAAAAAATTTTGGCCAACACTTCACTAATTAAAACCTAGGAACCCTGCTCGTCACTTTCGCTAGGGACAATCTCTAATGGAGATGAAAACAAAAACGAATCTCTTGGAGGCGATGCAGACAGAGACTCTAACGAGACTACGTACCCTTAAAAACCATCGCCAGATTCAAATCAGTGTGCAAGACATGGAAATCAATACTCGAATCTCCGTATTTCCGCCGTCTTTTCCTGTATATGCACCCAAACTCCTCCTCTTCATCATCGTGGTGCCTCTTGCACGGAGCAGACGAACTTATAGGTTTCCACGGATGCAAAACATGGGATCTTCCCAAATCTCCAGCTTCACTCATCCCACACTCTTTCAAACGTTACCATTACGGTGACTGCCACTACGTGGATTCTTCCGGAGAATTGGTTCTGCTCACAGACGGCGCTGACAAAGCTTACTGCTTCCTCGGCAATCCTGTTTCTCAGCAATGGTTCAAAATCCCTCCACCTCCCTCTGATCCGACAAGTGATGATTCTGATGTGTTTGGTTTGGTGACCCGCTTGGATCAGGACGGTGTCGTTTTAAGCTTTAAAGTGATTAGGTTAGCCAATATCCAATGGAAAAATAATGATCATCTCTTGAGTGTGTTATTGTATTCCTCCGAGACAGGGATCTGGACTCCCAAAGTAGTTCACTGTCCTCATCAATTCGATAACTTGTTTAATATCAACCTGAATGGTACGGTTTTGTCATGAGGTTAACTCTATCAGGAGGTTTTGTCATGTATCTCAGATCATTAGCTAAAAAGAAGAAACTGTTTTGAAGATCTGGAGGTTGAACAATGACGATGACACATGGCAACTTTTGTGGGAAGTAGGCTTCCCGATTATGGGTAACTATGCACCCGTGGCAATGCATCCATTTGATATTGCTATTGTCTATCTATGGAGTCAAAAGGATTATCATTGGGTATCATGTAACTTGCGCAAGAAAGACTACACATTCCTTCTTGGTGATGCATCTCATCAAAATTGTTTCATTGACGAGGCTGTTTGTAAGAAGAGTGTGGATGAGATATGGGATCCGAGATCATCAGACGACGAAGACTTTGTCGACTTTAGAGTTTGTATCTGGTTTTGCCCATTCGTGATTCCACGGTGGTTGGAATCGGTGCCTCGTCCTCCCCAAGCTGAGATGATAGATATGACTTCACTGCTTTCTTACGCTACTGTGTCACATGAGGCAAAGCTGAAGGATATACGCGATGACGAGTACTTTTGGATGCAGGTTGAGCAGGGTTTGATCTGATCGTTTAGGGGCTTGAAACATCGTTTTAATAACTTTTGTATTTCACTGGACTGTGACCAGATCCTGGAGTGATATGAGTATGGTTTTTATGTGATATTTCTATTTTTATTTATTTTTGAAAAAGGGTTTTTTATGTGATATCTTTTGTTATTGTTTTATAACGTTTCGAACTATACTCTATTTTGAGAACGCTTTCTGTTTTTTGCGGTAATAAATTAATACCAGTGGTAAAATCAAAAAGATGTTTTAGGATTTTATTTGATATTTTCTTTTCAGATTTCTATACAAAATTTTTGAGTGATTATAATCCTACCAACTACTTATGGGCAAAGGTGTTCAAAAGCCACAGTAGTATCAATCCATTTTTGTCGGTGATATTATCAAAGTATTTGAAGTCAAAACATGGTTTGATAGTCACCAAAGAATAGAGTTAAAGTATTTTTATTTCAAACTGTATTCTAAAATGAAAAATAGGATGAATTTGAAGATGTTACAAAAGCCGCAAGAAAGGTAAGCAATACTGACTTCACACTTTTATCAGCGTCAGCATTATGATATGAGTTTTACACATAACTGCTAATGCTACAAGCTATTTTTCGGATGGTAGCTTTATCATTTGGAAAATATATTTAGCCTAAATGTAAAAAAGTTCGAATCGTATGGAAAAATAGTTGGCAGATTATGTCAAGTAAACGTCAGTGTTGCCCTTTTTGACGTTTGCGTAGATGGATATGTGGAGTGTATAACTCTTGTGAGACATATATTTACCCCCTTAAAAAGTGACGAAAAGGAGAATAGTTGGTAGGTGGATGTATTTAAAACAAATAAACATTTAAAAAGTAAAGATGATATAAATAAATAAAAATATTTACAATATGTTCGCAAGAAAATAAAATAAAAAGGAATCAAAATATTCTTAGGATACTTTGATGGCAGCATCATCTGATATATGGAGTATCTTCTCAGTAACAGCTTGGCCACCCCTGTCATCCAACTGCTACATCCTCATCTCTTTTGTTTCCTTGTTTCTGTTATGTGCCTCCTATATAATTGTTTTTTCTTCCTCCAAAGTTCATTGATGTTGAGACATTGATCCAACAAATTCTGTTTTTTTTTTTTTTGAGTTATTAGGCTCAGCTCAATATGAAGAAGCTCCAATGAGCAAACGTTACTGATGAACTTTTAAAACAACTATGAAAAATACTCAAATGTGATAAAGTTTTTGGTAGATCTTACTGGTCATAGTTGATAGTAATGGAGTTTAATATTGTGTTGTACTGAAGTTACCTTACCTGTGGAAGAGCTGCAAAATTTATGGAGCTCACAATAAATATGTACTTTTGGGTGAAGTTTTGCTCCATTTTCTTATCATAACTTTCTTTTATATATATTTTCACTTATAATTTTTTAAATAATTCTAATAATATTTTAGAAGATTGTATCTCTTAATAACTTTTATATTTAAAAAAATCACATTTAACTCTTTTAACTCTCCAGATTTTTTTTTTGTTATATGTATTTTTCACAACTCTTTGCTTTGTAGGAACAGTTTTTTTGGGATATTATACTATCTAAATTTTAATTTTTAATATTTACATAATCTTATTCAAAATTATTTTCAAAGCTATATCTTCTCATTTCTTACATTTTTTTACTTTTAACCATCTAAACTATAGTTTTTAGAAGTGCAAACCACCTATATATGTTATTATTTTCTATTTAAAATTTCCACATATAATTTTTTAAATGATTTTAATGTATATGTAATAAAAAGACAAAAAAAACTGAAATACACACACACAACAATGAATGAATAGTAGGAGCTGTAAATTAAAAAAAACAAAAAACAAAAGTCGTCTCCCGTCGCTCCCCGCAGGTTTTATCTCTCTCTCTCTCTCTCTCTCACCTTCTCCACCAGATCACTCCCCCCTTTTTTGAATCTTCTTCAATTGCAAAAACTGCCGTCTCCCATCTCTAGGTTAGGGTTTCGATCTGCGCTCCGGCGAATCGTTCACGCTCGAGCTGCACTCTCGTCTTAGCTAGATCCGGTTGTTCGCGAGTCGGATCTGCTCGTGTGAGGCGGCGGCGAACGGTGGATCTGAGTTTTCCGAGATGACCGGAATGAGAGGACTCTCCGTTTTCATTAGCGACATTCGTAATTGCCAGAACAAGGAGGCGGAGCGGCTCCGAGTTGATAAGGAGCTCGGAAACATACGTACATGCTTCAAAAACGAGAAGGTCAGGGAGCCTTTTTGTATTCAAAAGAGATTCTGGAGATGTATCATTTGCAGCTACGTATTCCTTCAAGATTGTTTAACATTAGGCTCAGTTTCAATACAAATCCAATGCTAGAGCTTATAGGTTTGATACAGTCACTGGAAATTAAATTAGAGTTTCCGAGTTGGTAGATTGTGTTTAGTTGTTTTCATTTCAATCATATTATGTGCATTTTGATAATGCAGTATAGTGTTTGCCTTGTATATGCTTGGAGATTAGGCCATTATATGTAATAATAGTCCAACGAAAGAAAGCAAGCTCACAGATAGATTTGAATAGCTCATAACGAAGTAGATTAAGCTGTGTTGCTGTATCACGTTTTGGGGTGAAGTTCTGATTTCATACTATAAGTAGCAGATCGGTAGCTGGCCCGTAGTGTCCATCTGTGGTCAGCTAAACATTACGAAAGAACAATTGATCATGCATTCTTTGATTTTTTTTTCCCATATTATTTTCTGTTTGACAGGTTTTGACACCTTATAAAAAGAAGAAATATGTCTGGAAAATGCTTTATATACATATGCTAGGTTACGATGTGGATTTTGGCCATATGGAGGCGGTTTCCCTTATATCTGCTCCAAAGTATCCAGAAAAGCAGGTTAGTAAAGTTTTGTTTGCTAGCTTAAACAGTTAAGTATGCTTTAGAAGAGAAATAGGTGGGGTATTTGTTTGATTAAATCTAATGATCAAGATGAAACAAAGTAGATTTCAGTGAAGACCATAAGAAGCCAGATCTAAAGCGTTTTGGAATTTAACTCTGTTTAATTGGACCTAGTAATGTAATGAGACATTTATTAAGTATATACTAACAACATTATAGCAACTCTTAACTAAGATACAAATGATGCCATGCGTATTCTATTTCTACCAAGGGTTTGCATTATCACTTTTATATTTTGATATCTTTCCTACCTAAGTTGCATGTATCGAACTTTTCATCGATTATTACAGGTTGGCTACATTGTTACATCCTGCTTGCTCAATGAGAACCATGATTTTTTGAAGTTAGCAATAAATACAGTGCGGAACGATATAATTGGTCGGAATGAGACTTTTCAGTGCCTGGCATTGACTTTGGTATGTGCTCTTTTGTCCATCGTTGTGTTGAGATCTTAGACCGTAGTTAAGTCGTTCAGATTATGGGACGCAGTTAAGTGACTGTTTCAATGGAAGTCTGTGGTCACGTTATGTCTGTTTTCTCTACTAATTCGTTACTCAAAATAAAACGGTGTGTCCGATCTTCTTTGCATCTCTTACCTTGCCATATTTATTTTGTCCTGTAGGTTGGAAATATTGGTGGGAGAGATTTTGCCGAATCATTGGCACCTGATGTTCAAAGGCTACTTGTAAGTGACGCCCAACACGATAGGTTATGGATATTTATCCATATAAGTAAACATATTAATGCTATGGGACTTCTTTGCTGTAGATTTCTAGCAGCTGCAGACCGCTCGTAAGGAAAAAAGCGGCACTGTGCCTACTGCGCTTGTTCAGGAAAAATCCTGATGCCATAAACGTTGATGGCTGGTGTGTATTAGCACTCTGGGTAACTTGTTGTTTGATTTTATTTGAGCATCGTTCGTAAATTCTAATTGTTGTGTGCTTCCAGGGCGGATCGTATGACACAACTTTTGGATGAACGGGATCTTGGTGTCTTGACATCCTCGACAAGTCTTCTTGTAGCGTTGGTATCAAATAATCATGAGGCGTATTCAAGTTGTCTACCTAAATGTGTCAAAATATTGGAGCGCCTTGCTAGGAACCAGGACGTGCCTCAGGAGTACACATACTACGGCATCCCATCTCCGTGGCTCCAGGTTTGGCCTTAACTTTTATTGAGCACATAATCCCTTAAATTCTTATTATTTCATGTGAACCGGCTCATGAAAATAGAGATTTATCCTAGCTTTTGGTCTATTTTTGCGGCTCAGTTAAGGTATCTTGGATTCTTATATATATGTGGTCAGCACAGGTTAAGGCGATGAGGGCCCTTCAGTATTTTCCAACCATTGAAGATCCCAGTACCAGAAAATCTCTTTTCGAGGTTCAATATTTCTCAAGTAAATCTCTCTTATATGTTTTTTTATTATATCTGATGCCATTTCATGGAAATTTCAGGTCCTTCAGCGGATATTAATGGGTACAGATGTGGTGAAAAATGTGAATAAGAACAATGCATCTCACGCTGTGCTGTTTGAAGCTTTATCCCTGGTAAGTTCGTTCAGATAGCTAGGGAACAAGTTGATGCCAATAAAAAAATTCTGATCCATCCCTTCCCGTTCCTTTTACTCCTCCCCAACATCACATAAAAAAACTATTATATCAAAACATAATAATAACATACATGTGAAGGTTCTGAAATAAAATTTTCGGTTTTGGTGGAGAATATGCGTTTGTGTCGCTTGCAGTTACTTGCATGCTATTCTTTGTATGTTCCTTACTGTTCTTGTTGAAAAGTAAATAATATCATATCTTCTGCTTGAAGCTTTCGAGCTATTTCTAAGAGCTTTATCATGGATAGTTCACTTGAATGTGCCAGACAATTATCTGGATTGCTGAGCAACTTCCTAACTTGATGATGTGTTTTGATATAGGTCATCCATCTTGATGCTGAGAAGGAAATGATGTCACAGTGTGTTGCTCTTCTCGGAAAGTTTATTTCTGTCCGTGAACCTAACATCAGATATCTAGGCTTGGTGAGATCTCGAATACACTCGTCCTGT